ATCCTTTTCTTCTAGTCCACTTAAAGGGGGAGTTCTCATCCTCTGCCATGTGCCCATAGCTTATCAAGTCTCCTCAGGACTGCCTGCATCATATTTCTCTGTGGCCTGGCAAGGCCTCATTGCCAGGGGAAATTGATCAAAGAGCAGGCAATTGAGTTCATGATAGAGGAAGCCCCTGCTCCCCTTACTAGGGAACCCATGTGGATACAGAGCTGCCAATTGGGTACATCTGAGCAGGGGATCTAGTTCTTCTCCATGTATAGTCCTTGATTTAGTGCATCAGTCTCTACAAAGCCCCCTGAGATCAATTTTTTTTTATAGCTATGTTGGTCTCCTTGTGTTGAGGCTTCTGTCCCCTCCATGCCCTTCTATTCCCCCTTCTTCCATAAGACTCCCGGCCCTCTACCCAAAGTTTCGCTTTGAGTCTGTGCATCTGCTTCAATACCCTGCTGGGTGGAGTTTTTCAGAGGACCCTCTATATTAGGTTCCCATCCTGTTCCCTCTCTTGCACTGCTTCCGATGTCTATCCTGTTTGCCATTCTGAATGAGACTTAAGCATCCTCCCTAGGGTCCTTCTTTTTGTTTAACTTTTTTAGATCTGTAGATTTTAGTATGTTTATTCTATATTATATGGCTAGTAGTTGCTTATAAATGAGTGTATACTATGTGTGTCTTTCTATTTCTTGGTTACCTCACTCAGGATGATATTTTCTAGTTTCATCCATTTGCCTGAAAATTTTATGATTTCCTCGTTGTTAGTAGCTGGGTAGTATTTCATTGTGTAAATGTGCCACGATTTCTGTATCCATTCCTCCATTGAGTGACAATTAGGTTATTTTACCAACCGTGCATCCAATAGAAGACTAATATCCAGAATATATAAAGAACTCAAGAAATTTGACAACAAACCAAATATTCCAATTTAAAATGGGGTACAGAACTAAGCAGAGAATTCTCAACACAGGTATATCGATTGATGGAGAAACAAAGAAATGCTCAGTGTTCTCAGTTGTCAAAGAAATGCAAATCATAACAACTCTGAGATTCCATCTTACACTGATCTGAATGGCTAAGATCAAATACTCAAGTGAAAACACATGCTGGCGAGGATGTGGAGAAAAGGGAACCCTCCCTCCTCCATTTTCTGGTGGGAATGTAAACTTGTACAACCACTTTGGAAACCAAGCTTCTTTTATGATAACTCTTTCTAGGTTTCACCATTACATTTTTGTTTAATAGTAACAAAAAGCACTGCTTAAGCTGTAGAATAGAAGGCCTGATTACAGCTCCAGCTGGGCTGCCTTATGTAAGAGATGCTCCCAATGGTCCTCCAAACGGTAGAACCCACACCACAGCTTACAGATGGAATTTATATAGAACATCATTTATTTGCCTGCTGTTCAGTCTATGACACTTCTATAACATACATACTCCTTTTCTCAATTGTAAGGGTATATTTTCTAATATTAATTTACTTTTAAAATTTCAAAATTTTTCTTTGATAAATTATTAATTTAGATCAATTCATTCTGTTTAAATTATAATTATGTAACTTCTGTATTTCCTTTTCATTTATTTAGCTCCTCTAATGTCACCCACTCTGAAACTTAAAAAGCCTCTTTAATTTGTACATATATATACATATGAGTGTGTGTGTACAAATGCACCCAAGTGCAAGCTGTTGTGTCCATTTGTGTTGTTTGTATGTATTCATTTTTAGTGCTGATAATTTAGTATTGGATAAGCAATTAGGAAAATCATTTCTCAGGCAGAATAATACTCAAGAACCATGTGAGTGATGGTGCTTAGATAATGCAGCCAACCATGATGAGTCCTGATAGGTTAGGGTCAGATAGAAGGTGAGGAGGACCTTCCCTAGCAGTGGACTAGGGAAAGGGCATAGGGAGAGAAATGGAAGGGTGGGTGGGACTAGTGGGAGGGTACTACAGTGGGGATACAAATGAGTAAATTGTAATAAATAAATAAATGAATAAATAAGTATTGCAATTACCATAATACAGTCATCAGACATCATAGATAAGAAAATGCTAGCCTTTCTTACACAAATTAAAAATGAAGAGCTTGAATTACACAGACAATGAATGTACTAGACTTACATTCTAATAACATATACCAGCACCAGAAAATCATCTCTTCAGCATGTGTTGTCATTTGAGTTTTTTATTTTAGCCATTTTGACGGGTGTAAGGTGAAATCTCAGGGTTATTTTGATTTGCATCTCCATGATGGCAAAGGATGTTGAGCATCTCTTTAAGTGTTTCTCTGCCATTCTATATTCCTCTACAGAGAATTCTCTGTTTAGCTCCATACCCCATTTTTAATTGGATTGTTTCATTTATTGCTTTTTAACTTCTTGAGTTCTTTCTATATTCTGGATATCAGCCCTCTGTCATATAAAGGATTGGTAAAGATCCTTTCCCAGTCTGTAGGCTGTCATTTTGTTCTGATGACAGTGTCTTTTGCTTTACAGAAGCTATTCAGTTTCATGAGTTCCCATTTATTGATTGTTGCTTTTAGAGCCTGTGCTGTTGGTGTTCTGTGCTCAGATGTAGCCCATGGTAGCTCACTAACCAAGGG